ACTAATAAACCTTAGCAAAAATCAGACTTTAAAGAAATGACAGAGTAGTAGAGAAAATAAATAGGCTTTGATTCAAATAGTGTAGCAAGGACTTTGAACTGCCTAGTAATGGTTGGTAACTAAGCAAGCTCATTTCGCACTCAGTATTCCTGTGGTAATCCTAGACTCCTCAGGGCTCACCACAGCAACTGCATATTTATCCTAATTTTAAATATAATTTTAAAAATAGATAGATGTTGTAAAGAATCAAAAAGGAAATGTTAGGTTTTAAAATTATTCACCTATCGTGTGCTGCCAGAATTTTCATCTCGAGAGGTGAAATAGTGAAACAGTAATTCACACAAGACAAATGTGATAGAGTGCACTGAATCACTTCCAGTGGGATTATTCAAGGCATGCAAAAGTTTAAGCCATGCTTAAGGCCCTAGATTTCAGCCACAAATCCTGGTCATTTGCCTTGGAATGAGTGGAACTGTTCATCTAAATGACCTAGATGTGCTGTAATCACTGGGGAGCTTTCAATGACAAGGTGTTCAAATATCAACTACTAATTATTATTTACAATCATTAACCTAAATCAAAGTTGATAGAAATGACCACCACTTCAATTTGCAAGTCTCATTCTCCTTAAATAGTCCCAGGATGCTGAGGATGGTAATTGTTTCAAAGTCGTTTGTATGTGTGTATGCGGTCAGTATGGTGGGAAGAGATAGCATCAGTTTTGGGGAGTAAATCATTAGAGGAGCAGTGAATTGCCCTGGGAGATTAGTCCAATAGAGCAAAGCTACTCCTTGCTCATTATGCCTCTTAAATAGGCACTTTTTCCCCGATTGAACTCCAAGGGCAAAACCAAACAAGCAACAGGACTGTTACACTGGCTCCATCTCTGATCAAATTTTAAGAGTCAGCAAATAAACCTGAAAAGTATTTCCTGTACGTAAGCCCACGTGCCTTCTTCCTGGCATGTCAATCTACTGTTAATCTAAACTCCTGGTACCACACAGTCGCATGGTCTTCATTTAGTAGAAATTCAGTGATTGGTCTGTTTGTGAGTGCAGAGCAAGCTTTGGAAAAGTGAAGCCAGAAAGTGAAAGCAATACCAAGAAACAGAATGCAAACCAAGTGAAGCTGAAAGGCTCAGGCCTAACTCGGGTGTTTGAAGAAAGTTGTGTGGTGAGGTCAACCAGTTATTTCAAAAAGGCAGAGATTTGACATTACTGCAAATTGATATATGAAAGACATGCTCTTTGAGGCGTGCAAATGTCCGGGAGGGTAACAGGTTTCATTGCAACTGTTTCCACTCAGACTTGCACCAGTTTAGTGGCTTTTGTTTAGTTAAAGCAAGGCAAATTCTGGCACATAATGTATTTTTGGTTTAGATTGGGTCACAACAGCCTACGTTCAAAGTTCCTTTTCTCACCTCCCAGGACAGTAACATTGAGACCTTGATATTGTAAAGCTAAAATAAACCAATTTTTAAAATCCTGTATGTAGCATAAAAAATATACTATAAACCAAAAAGCTATATATAAAATATAATTTATTAAAATGGAATCAAGTTTAAAATATTACTTTTCAGATCAATTCCTGATTTATTCTAGGGATTATGGTATGTTGACCATATAGCTCTATATTTATATCATTAATCAGACCTGAGTCATGGCAATATTACTTTTTAAGACAAGAGAAAACAAAAAAGAGAAAAAAGAAAAAGAGGCCTTCACGTAGGAAGTTGAATTTATCTTTAGTTCTGTTGCCCCCAGAGAGCACTTTAGAGCAGGTCCTGTGATTAATCCACTACCCAATGCCATTGCAAATTGCTGGGTTAATGAAGAGGGGTCAAGTAGGGAAATGGGAGGAGAGAATAGAAAGGTGTTGATCATCTGTAAATGACTTGCTGCAGGGAGTACACTTAAAGCTCAGAGAGTGAAGTACACCAATTTTTTCTTGGATGATAAGCACAGGATTGGCTTTACTTTCAGTTCTATATTTCACCAAAACTTCCCTGTCAAAATAATTCCTTTTGTGTACCTAGCAGTGTAAAGTTATAGCAGAGGAATTTCATGTGCAAAGAAAGGAGTGAAATACAGGCAGACCAGAGAGAAAAAATGTGAAGCTTTTTAGGTAAGAAAATATATATTTTTTAATAATAAAAGTGCAGTCTTTAAAATGCTGCTACTGCTTACAGAAGAAAAAAAATCTATCAATTTTGTTTAGTAAATTCTTGTATTTTGTACCTTTCACACTTCTTTTTCTAGTAGTTACTTAAAACTGGGTGGCATCGCTTCTCCCATAGAACTTGTGTTGTACCTGGACGATGGCTTACTTCCCGTCCCCTTATACATTCCAAAATTATAGTTATTATTACATTTCACTAACTTCATGCTATAATTTAGTAAGTTTTTTGTGCATGCATTATTCACGTATCTTTATCTTTGCATTGCAGATTTCTTTTAAGTATGTCACTACCTTTACAAGTGCTCCAGTTTGAAACTGGCAAGACACAACCTTTATTTCTTGAGGTTTTTTTTAATAGATGGCGGTTCTATCAAGCAAAGAAAATACTAAAGACTGTTCCCTCCCCCTCCTGTAAATAACTAGCATTAAAATAACTACTGTCTTACAGTCTCAGCTTTCAGACCTCTTCATGTATGAATGGGGTTACTCTTATGAGTGACATTACCCTTATGTTTGTAGGTTTAGGATTTTCTGCAGTGTTGCTCTCTTTGGCTTCTTCAGTGAGCCAGGCTCTGTTGCATGATGAAGGATGCAGGACATCCACATGGAGTTTCAGAGTGAGCAGGATCTGGTTATAGGGTCTATCTGTTGCCTGTTCAGGACGCACAGTATGTGCCCTGATCCCTTGTTACTCTTCATGTAAATAACAAAATTAACATTTCAAACATTCCAGTGTTTTTTATTTTACCATTCCACCACCTCCTGAACCCATGTAATAACACTGGATTGAACTGTGAAGCAGAGAGAGAAATAGCTAATATAGGATATAAAAGACACATCAGCTTCTCTATCACTTTCTAAAATTACAGCTTTTATGCTCATTACTTTTATAAGAAATAATTTTATGCTGTCAATTTTTCTAAGTAGTGTCATATGTTAATTCTGTGTTTTAGTTGTTCCCAAGAAAGTCACTGTCCTTTTTTTAATTTATATGTTTAATGGGTGCGAAGGGGAAAACTGTAACAACTTCCCAAGCCAGGAAAATCAGAGCACGTCTTTAAACTCTTTTAAGGAAATTAATAATCTCATTTCCAAGAGGAAAAGAAGAAACCCTTCTGATGTCTTAACTTTCATTGGGTTATCACATGGTAAGTTGTTCATCACACGAGGATATAATCGATTTTCGTGTCCGCTGTGAAGATATTTCTAGAGGGGGAAAAAGGGCATGAAGGTCACATAATAGTCTGCTTTTCAGAGGATACTTTATGTTACCATCTTTTAAATGCACAATCAAATGCACAAAAGGTGTTGGTACATACTGATATCTATATTAGTTAAAAACAAACAGACAAACAAAAGCCCTACATGTTAATGAAAACATGCAGACTTCGTGCAAAGGACCTTTACATCACAGTGCGGTTTCTTTAGCAAATAGCAGGGAGTCCTCGAAGCTGTGAGGCCTGGTAAGTATGCAGGCAGCCATCGGCAACACAGTTAGCAGGCCCTTTCATGAACACAAATGCACTCTTCTGGGCTCCTGAAGACATCACAAATGCCTGCTAAAATATCCATCGAAATACTTGAAATATGTTGGTCCTATGGAGAAATGGGAAGTGACGCATCATCATTTCATTACTTTTGTTAATTGGTGCAGAAAGCTATAAAGGACTGATGATTTCCTTTAGAAAAAAGGAAGCATATGTAGAGGTAAGTTCAGAAGCTTGTGCCAAATCCTCCCCCCTTCAGAGGTGATGCAACAACTTCAGGTTGTACGCCAGTTAAACACTGGATAGTATGTGATCAGAAAAACACGTTTCGCCTCATGCTCCCGATTTTGAGATGTGAGGGCAGTTTCAAGCTCAAGAAGCCAGCACGTAAAGAACAACTCCCTGTGTTTCATTGGCCCAGAAGGCCAATCTCAGACCCCCCCGGTCAGTGCCTTGGGATATGTATCAGCAGCACTGGTTATCACCTCCCCTCACTTGGGGAGAAGAGAATTTTTAAAATTCCAAATTTTTAATTCTAAATTTCTAGAGGAAAAAAGAAAATGGCAGTAATAGAGCTGCCTCCCTTCACCTGCTCTCAGTGCTATTAACAAAGTTGAAGCACTTTATTTGCCATGGGAATACGAAGAGATCCATGCTGAAAGCTATTGCCCTGATTCAGAGAGAGCTATTTCCTTTTATGTTTCCTAACATTTCCCCCCAGCTCCCATGGAGGGTATAAAGAACTGACACTTTTATACTTGATGTAAGAGGTGTGTTACCAGCTTCAGCTGCAGCTGTATGTGCAGTGCCTGTTCACTAGATACATATGACACTTCCCTCCCTTCGTTATCCAGAAATGTCTTCCAAAACATCTCTGAAAATACACACTAGTAAAGAGAGTTTTCTTCTTGGTGCCACCTTCCTACCCACTCCCTTTTATTAAGAATCCAGACCCGTCTAGCCCAGAAATAGTCTAATTGAGAGTTGTAGTTGCCTGTTTGGACACCAGGGTTTGCATGTCTTTTCCAGACTTCGTAGCCAGAAAACTGGATCAAAGAAAATAACTCGCTATGTTTTTAAAGAACATATGAAAGGTCAGGTCCTCAACTGAGTGCCTCCACAAACTTTAATCTCTGATTAAGCACAGAAACAAAAACAAAAGCCTGAAGGCAATTGTATCTGTTACTGAAAGAGTAATTGGAACTTATGAGGATGCTGCTTAATTTAGTCTTTGACCTTTTGAATCTCCTAACAGGTCAGGATAACTGTGCAGAGTCTTTGCAATAGGCAAACAAAGCAAATTTTAAAGGCATCAGGCTTAAACTGGTGGCCCGGATGTCTGCAGCTAAAGTAGGTGCCTTAATTGCTCAGCAAATTTCCTGCAACAACTTCTTATTTCTGACTGTAGCCCATGGGCTGAACAGGAACTGCTGCCAAAATGAAGGAATCTGTTTCCTGGGGACTTTCTGCATATGTCCAAAGTATTTTACTGGTAAACACTGTGAACGTGATAAACGTATTGGGTGAGCAAAATGTGGAGTGGAATTTTTTCCCAGAAATAGTAACAAGCTTACTTTCAAGACATGTAATTCCACTTCCTAGGCTTTTTTTATTATTGCTGTTATTTCATAACATCACAGATTCTGTGGCACGGTGAGGCATGGGGAGTAGACCAAGGATGGCTGCCTGCTCTGCCAGTGTGTCCATAGGGTCCTTCACTGTTTTCCTCATGGCCTGAGAGATGGCTGTGGTAAGAGACACAGGATGCCCTGTATGATGGGAGTCCTTAAACCAGCACCCAGCTGTCCATTCTTGTAATTCATGCCTCTGAGTATCGCTGAGTCAATTCAGCTGCCTAAAACAATGGCAAACTTCGTGGCGATCCCTTTCAGCTGCATCAAAGTGTTAAATGCGCTTAGGCATCTAGTGATACTTCCCCCCCTTGACCATAACCAGGTTCTCATGACCTTGATCACCAATGTGATGGAAAATCATAATTGCTACAAAAATGGCACTTACCTCTCTCCACAGAAAAGAGTGTGGATGTGGCTTGGGGCAACTTAGAGGGGGACAGATGGGGTTGGGGTTTGTTGGGTATGGCTGGTAGAAAGCTTCTCGGGGATGCAAGGACAGGCTCTGCTAGCCAGCAACAGTCCCATTAGAGACCAGCCTGTCACTAGTTACCTTAGGTTTTACCAGTTGCCAAATCTTTTCTACATTAGGAACAATGACATTTGACCCATCACAGTAGTAGAGAGAGTCTTGAAAAACAAGTGCAGTCTCTTCTGCCCTACAATGACTCCTTTAGATCCAGACTTGAGGCACAGGCAGGACATTGCTTTTATAGTTTCTATTTACAGTGTTAGCTTCAGAAAGAAGTAGCTGTTTGGGGGTTTGTTAGTGGATTGTTTTGGGGTTTTTTCCACCTTAAATTCTATGTGAAGCTTGAAAGGTTTGGATAAATAATATCTGGAGTTTGTAGGTTTGTCCAAGTGTGAAACTTACCATTTGTGGGAAAGTAAATGGAGAACACCGCTTCAATTTTCCTACTTTCAGTGGTGAGTGATTCTAATTTATCTGACCTGCCAGAAACTTAAGAATAGATCTGATGAGTACGTGTGTGTGCATGCATACACATATACATATGAAAAAAAATATGTACACATGCAGAGATATGAATACACAGTTATATTTATATTTACCGATGATTTTCCTACTCAGTGGTGAGTGATTCTAATTTATCTGACCTGCCAGAAACTTAAGAATAGATCTGATGAGTACGTGTGTGTGCATGCATACACATATACATATGAAAAAAAATATGTACACATGCAGAGATATGAATACACAGTTATATTTATATTTACCGATGTACATAGTGTGTATATATACACACAACATACTAAAATACAAAAACATTGGCTTTCTATATCCAAACGAGGTGATGTTGATCAAATTTGATTCATGAGCAACTATGTGGTGAACTTCTTTCAGAGGGTCTTCAATTTAAACAAAAGTCTTCTAAATGCATGAACTTATCTATGTTTGTGTGTGACAAAAAAAAGAGGGCTTTTCTGTGTTAAACATTTATCACATTAAGCTATTAATGCTAGAATTAAGCAAACAAAAAAGGACAACATTCTGATTACCAAATTTGCTAATGGTTTTACCAGGTTAATTGGATTTTGTTAATCTCTTCAGAATGAATTTTTCTATCCGTGTTCCCTTGAGGACTTTCCTTGCAAAGGAAGAAAAAGCCTGAGAGCTTTAGTACTCTGACATTTTTGTTTCACATTAAAACAAATTTCTGAGTCTCTAGAGGGAACATTAGCTCCAGCTACTTACTCTATATGCACTTGCAAAGAAAAATATGGCAGCACTTAAAAGGCAACATTCTGGTGAATATCTGAGATTTACATATGAATACTCAGATATTTTCTCTCCTAAGCACCATAAAGTCTCATCAGTCATTTCTTAAACGTTCCGAGTGCTGCTGTTTGCTGCTCTTTCAAAACTGTGAACACTGTCTTTAAGGACCCTCCATCACAGCCTGTTCAGCTGAAGTAGCTTCTGGGAAGGCTGAAAGGAAGTAGTTTAGAGCAATGAAGAACTTGAAACAACCCAGGCAAATCATTCTTGTTTCTGCTTAATTTAAAGCTATTTAAACGGAAGGTTTTTGTTTGTTCAGGTCTTACAAAAGAAAATCCGCCTGACTGGATGCAGGTTGGACCCAGGTCTGAAGGACTGAGCCTTCAGCATAAAGCCTACCTCCTTACTGTGCCAACCCTGTTCCCACTGCTTTGGCAGCTTCTCTAAGGAAAACAGTGGTAGCCTGACTGACAAAACAGTTCGAATATGGAGCTTCAGGTAGCTGGCAGCTCCAGACCTGACTGTCTGCCTGTGGTGGGAGGATTGCAGGGCACCTCCCTGTCCGCCTTCCCCACAGCTGCATGAATGGAAGGGCTACAGCACTGGAGGGATGGCACGTTTCCTGGAAACTGAAAGAAAGATGCAAAAAAACCCACTTTTCTGCATCTTGAAATAGCCTTATTACATCTAACAATTGACATATTGTTTAGTACTGAAAGATCAGTTATTCCAGTGGAAGAAAAAAACTTCTTCATATACTTGTTATCTTTATAACTTATTGTTAATTGCCTATTTCAGCTACTGAAAAGATAAACTTAAAACCATTTTCATAGTGTTATGTGTAAAGTTGTTTGGGAGTGGTGGTTTTTTGTTGGTTTTGTGACTTTCTTGGTTTCAGGTTTTTTTCAAGAGAAAGTTTTCTTTTGAATCATGTTTTTGGTTTCAGGTTTTTCTCAAGAGAAAGTTTTCTTTTGAATCATGTTTTTTAAAGTTTGCGTCTTAAATATTTATTGGGATTTTAGGTGTGCATTTCACCTTTCTAGTTACTATTGCCATGTGTAAATACATTCTTATTTCAGAACTAATTCAAGCATTTAGCTTGTTCCATTTCTTAAAAACGATAAGCATACGGTAGTAATGCTTGTCAGAATTTTGAAACTGAATTTCCAACATGTAATTTATGTAGAAAACAACTTGTTTAACCACGTAATAGAGAGTAGCGAAATTTTGAGAAATCAAAACTTCCTTTCAAAAACAAAAATAGCATTATTGATTTTCTTTCCTTTAACATTTTTATCTTGGGGCCTCTTCTCAGTTATACTTTTTTATTTCAGCAGAGCTGGAAAATTCACGAGAAGTATTAACACCTTAAAATAAAGATGTCTTTATTTTCAGTGTGCACACTCAGGGCCTTTTCAGTTCTGATAAGTAACTAACTGAGCAAATTGTTTATTTTCTACTTTAAAGAGTATTGTTTGAAACTAAAAATGAGGCAGAAAGAATCACAAAATTCAATCTCATTTCCACTTTTCATGTTTTTTTCCTCTAGGGAAGAGTCTGGGACTGTTGTTGAGCAGATTTATACCTATGCCCATCACGACAGAGCTAGCACATCATTGAAGCCAAATGCTAAAATACATGTTCAATGATGGTTTATTGTCAGTTATTTATTAAGCCTGATGTTTTTAAAACTAGCACCAATTGAATTAAAAAATGATCTTTCTGTCAATCTTAGGAAACTGCCTACAATACATAGATCACTGCAGTAGGATTCATAATATTAATATTTATTATATATAATACACACAACATCCTTGGGTCCTGGTTAGTTTCATTAATTCTCATCATATTCAGTAACTGATTTCTTTACTCCCAAGAGCAGATTTTGGTTTGTTGTTTGTTTGTTTTTTTTTTTCCCAGAGGGGAATCAAAGGAATAATAAGAGGTCTTTGCCTATCCTAACACAGGAAGTTCAAGGTAACCTTATATGGTACCGTATCTCACAATACACTTCTACACACAAAAGAGCTCCGTGTTTGCCAGCCTGTATACAATCAGTGAGGTCGGTCTATGAGAAACAACATATGTTCATACCCAGGTGGGATCTGTTGCACAAGCAATAGTTGCTCTTTCATAACTCTTTCCTATGTTGGGAATTTTAGTCACATAACTGCTCTTATACAGACCACCAGTAACTTAGCCACTGCCTACAGCAGGGAAAATGGGTTCAGGTACAGTTCTATCTAGCACAACAGTAGGCATTTTACTCCTGATGTGGACTACAGAAATTTTGCTTAAAAACATGTTAGCTGATCATGATGGAGCTTATGTAATGGAAGGAGGTTAAAAATATCTTAACCAACATTTTCTTCAAAGATTGTCTGGTTCCCATAGTCCCTAAGAGTTTTTGTCTTTTCCTCCATTAGGGCAACCTGATTAAAATACTTTCATTCATTCAAGAAAAGACAAAGAAGTCATCAAGAGTTCAGAAATGGATTTTTTTCCCACCCAGCCTAATCTGGGACAAATAAGTTCTATGTGTACGTGGGACAAGTTCTGTTTTCAGCAAACTTTTCAGAAGCAATTGAGCTGCACTCAATTAACTCTGCTGACAATACCTGGCTCTACACTTCCTGTCCCCACCTACACGAACATGTAGCAAGATCCCCAATCTGATTGACCTAATTGGCATTGTGCCAGGCTAAAAAAAACAACCCATAAGGCATCCCGTAAAACTCTAGCTGGCCATCCGTGTCTTACCTTGTTGTAGGATAGGTAACTACACTGACGTGTAGTTAAGATAACAGAAAGTTGTGTTAATCCTCTTTAACACCCAATTTTTTTTTTTCCTAGTAAGGTTTAAGGACTTAAGGGTATATATTTCATGTACATTTTTTCTTATCCGTGTACAAATAAATGAAAATGAGAAAGCAACTAGAACACTAATTCTCTACTCAGTGTTCATTAGATGTAAATGTGGGAAGAGCGGTTCAATGGAGTCCAGTTTAATTCTGATATCTCTCTCATCACAAAAGGAGAATCAGAGCTGCCAGAGAGAAAAAATGCTACTTACCTTAGTCACAATTAAACTAAATTAAACACATTATCCTACTGTACACATTATCCCATCATGGAAGTGATTGTTAGTTTTTATTAGGCAACAGAAGGGGATGGGACAGGAGTGCACAAGATTGGGAAGTATCAGTCAAAAGACAGCAAATATTTGTACTTCTGCTTTTCTGAAGAAATCTATTCATTACAACTGGTACTTATTAACAATTCAATTACCCAGGTGACTTTTCTTATTCTTTCAAAACACAGCTTTTTTCTATTCATTACCTTACTTTAAGTATTAGTTATATTGAAATACAGAGGACTTTTCAATTTCTCTTAATTTTTTTCTCTCTGCACTTCTTTATGAAACTGAGAGAAAAGGCAAATTTCACCACAACATAATTAAAGGCTTGTCTCCTCAGCTGGAAACAATAGGCCCTATCCTCCTTCTCTCTCAGAGAAGCACTGAGCCCATTTTGCCTGTGCAGCTTGTCATGCTCCAGCACAGGACTATAAAAACGACAGGCTCAGATCTGGATTTGGACCACAAATACATCTGTGTGTGCCTTGCCAACAACCCAGACCTGTGCAGGCTCCTGTGTTCTCTAGAGGAGCTGTTGCAGCACATTACCATAATTTTTGGCCGGAGAGGTATCCCGAAGCACCTGGTTTGCTCAGTGAATCTGGAACAGACACACCGCTAAATTGACCTTGGTAAAATTACAGCCTTCGGGAGACGTTAACTAGCCCTGCTCTGAGTCTTATCTGCTGAGACAGCTTCAGGGACACAGTCTCTGGTTAGGAAGGCAGTGTTGACAGCTGTACATAAGGTCTGTGTGCTGTTGTTGTATGTAGAGAGTTTCCCTCTCCTGGAGGGACATAGGAACAGCTGCTAGGAAGCCTAATGAAGCCACGAACAACCTGAATAGGGACCAAGTCTTTCTGGCCACTTCTTTATGCTGAGAGAAAAGGCAAATTTCACCACAACATAATTAAAGGCTTGTCTCCTCAGCTGGAAACAATAGGCCCTATCCTCCTTCTCTCTCAGAGAAGCACTGAGCCCATTTTGCCTGTGCAGCTTGTCATGCTCCAGCACAGGACTATAAAAACGACAGGCTCAGATCTGGATTTGGACCACAAATACATCTGTGTGTGCCTTGCCAACAACCCAGACCTGTGCAGGCTCCTGTGTTCTCTAGAGGAGCTGTTGCAGCACATTACCATAATTTTTGGCCGGAGAGGTATCCCGAAGCACCTGGTTTGCTCAGTGAATCTGGAACAGACACACCGCTAAATTGACCTTGGTAAAATTACAGCCTTCGGGAGACGTTAACTAGCCCTGCTCTGAGTCTTATCTGCTGAGACAGCTTCAGGGACACAGTCTCTGGTTAGGAAGGCAGTGTTGACAGCTGTACATAAGGTCTGTGTGCTGTTGTTGTATGTAGAGAGTTTCCCTCTCCTGGAGGGACATAGGAACAGCTGCTAGGAAGCCTAATGAAGCCACGAACAACCTGAATAGGGACCAAGTCTTTCTGGCCAACTCAG